TAACCACTGGGAAAGAACAGGCTAAGAAACTGGCATAGGCTATTTACAAGGTATTTTCTCTTCCAGACCCCTCTTAGTGCTGTAGAGTGCAGTTGAGGACCAGTTGTGGAGGGCAGGGATGCTTTAAAGCGTTCGCTCCCTCTTTAGGATTGTGTCCTTCCCCTGTATTCTTATTTTTGCAACCTCTTAACACTTAAATCCAGATGATGAGCACTAAAGCGGAGTTTGAGTTGGTGTTTAACCTGCGTGTGCTTTGTTTTTGTGGAGAACCTTGAGCATGAAGCAGGATTTCCCATTGCATTCATTGTAGCACAGCTCTGACTGTGCATAGCCGTGACCGCCTCCAGATCAAACCCGTGTTTAGCAAGGGATGGGTTGTGAAAGGTAATCCTTTGCCGTGTAATTATTTCATTACCATCCAGCTTTATATAGCACTAGGCAATACCCTGCTTTTGAGGAAAAGTTCGTGGGTGTTTTAGTGCTGAAGAAGCACCTGCAAGTCTTCATTGCTGTGTTCTGAGTGCAGAGCTGGCAACGCTGGGGTCTGAACCTGAAAAGCATTGAGTCCCTCTTGTACTAAGGGAGGGCAGTGTGATGGAAACAAGTGAGCTTGGCCTGCTGCTCAGAGTTAATTTGCAGTTGGATTCCAGCTGTGGAAGAAGGATACAGGGAAGGAAGCAAATTTTTCATGGTGTCAAATCATGGCAATGTGCCCTGGGCAGGAAACTCCTCCGGTGCACTGGGAACAGAGACCTGGACTCACGTTGTCCTCTCATCTGCAGCTTTGGAGCATCTGTTACCTCCATGCACGGGGAGAAGTTGTTGTTTGAAAACTCTTGCTACATTTAGAGAAGGGAAAAAGAGAGGGAGGGTCCTTTTATCGTGCACCATCCTCTCCAGGCTGCAGTACTGCAGCAGGCATTGCTGCTTCCCACACAGCAGAGGAGCTGAGCTTCCTAATCAGGTTAAAACTTTCTCTTGTCTTTCATCCTGCATCATGTAAGAGCAAAGCTGCAGGTGGGTAAGGGTGAATCACAGAATCATAGAATGGGTTAGATTGGAAAGGACCTTAAAGCTCCTCCAGCTCCAACCCCTGCCATGGGCAGGGACCCCTTCCACTGGAGCAGCTTGCTCCAAGCCCCTGTGTCCAACCTGGCCTTGAACACTGCCAGGGATGGGGCAGCCACAGCTTCTCTGGGCACCCTGTGCCTAAGTTCTGCCTAAGTTTTAACCTGAACTTCCCCTGTTTAAACAGCCCTGAAGAGGGCATCCAAGTATGGAATATGGGGGGTGTGAGTGTGGGGGGGGTGTGGGGTGTGTGCAAAATGCTGCCTCTGCTACTGCAAAATGCTGGGAAGTAAATGGGATTCTTTTATAAAGAGCATCTGATGGGAGGAAGCTCACCTGGCTCCTGTCAAATAGCATTAGGAGTTGTAACTCTGGACAAAGAGGGGCTGCAGATGTGGGGTTTCAATCAGCTTGGCAGCATGCTCTTGTACTCTCTGCCCTCCCCAGCAGCAGTCCCCACATGTCCTCAGAGCTGTGGCCCTGCGCTGCCTAAGAGATGTGTCCACAAGTGCTTTGCCTCTGTTGCTGGGAGACACTGGAGGGAGCTGGGGCTGCTTGAAAAAACAGGCTTTTCTGCTGCCTCCTCTCTGCCCTCCCTAGCTCATTTTTCCTCTTGGTGGCTGGCTGTAGGAAAAGCTGGGCTGGAACCGAGGGATTCTTACTCCAAATGTGATGGTTGCCTCCTCCTTGCAGGCTTCCAGGTCCCCTGAAGTAAACAGCGCTCAGATAAAGGTCCCAGACAGATACAAGAGCAGCTTTGGTTTAGAAATATGTCTTGTCATGAAGCTAATGGACATAAATCTTCAAATCTCAATGCCCTTAAACTTCTGGAGCTTGAACTGAATTGACCTCAAGACCCAAACTCCGTAGCCAGCCCTCAGGATTGTGGCAGTGTCCCAGAAATCCTGCCACGGCTTGGGATCAGGGCCTGCCTGTGGAAGTGAATAAAACAGTACCAAAGCCCTTGGTCTTATTAGGAAGTGAGGCTTATTTTGCACCATGTAATTCCAAGGCCTTGCTGGGGAAATGCTGCTGGTTTGGAGGAGCAAAAGCAGATAAAGCAAATGGTTCTTGCTGAAATGGTGCCTGGGCTCCTACCAGTAACCTCTGCTGAGAAATACAAGGCAGTTCCTGCTTTTCAGTTATTTCACATGTCTGCAGGCTTGAGCAGAGGCTGCTGCATCGCTTGTGCATCCTTGAGGTTCCATCACAACTAATGAGAAATGGGAAAGTTCTTTAAACCGGAGCCCACGGAGGGGAGTGGGGCTGGTGGAGGGAAGGTGCTCCCACAAGCACCTCTAACAGTTAAAAGGCAGAATTGGGGTGGAATTAGAGCTCAGCATCACAAGGCAGACTTTGAATTCCTCTGAACTGATTCCACTTCAGCTGATCCCCTACTTCTGCTGCTGCTAGTGCAGAGCTGCTGATTTACACAGAGCCTTAGGTTGGATGGCAAATAACTCCAACTTTCTCTTGCAACTCCCAAAGCTGCATTTCTGGGGCTTCCTTTTTCAGCCAAAATGAGTCTTCAGCAGCACGATCGGATGATGTGATGCCTCCTGTGTCATTTTGAGCTGAAGCCATGGCTTGGGCTGCGAGCAGCTGCAGAATGAACCACCCTGTGTGTGATTTCTGTCATTTAAGGGCTGCCTCTGTCCACTTGAAATCAGGATATTTTTACCTTTTACGTGGCCTCATCCTTTTTTAGGCTCTTTAGTCTTAAACTTGAGCTTAAACCACAAAATCCCATGTCCTGGGCAGCTGACTTGCAGGTTTGGATTGAAGTTGTGAGTGACTTCTGTAAGTGACAGCTTTCACATTACAGGCTTATCCTGTCAGTTCTCCTGTGGCATTTTTACCCTCCTGTGAAACAAGGGATGTGACTGCTCCTCCTGCCACCCTGTTAGTGACTCCAGTAATCCTTGTGTTAGCGTTTGATGGTGTTTGGCCTTTGTCCGAGACCTGCATGGCTCCAGCAGCCTGATGGAAGCTCAGCATTGCTCTGGCACTGGGGTATCTGCCAGTTCTCATGTTCAAGTTGTCCTTGTGTCCAGGGGCAGAAGAGCAGTGGATGCTTTTTGCTTATGTACTGCAGGGCAGCGTGTTGTTGGTAGGTCCTATGCATCCAGTGACTTAAAACCATCCTTTAACTGAGATTTCTTTTCAGAATGTACTTTACTTCCAGACGTGTTGGAATGCTGAATTCTGGTTCTTTTTTCCAGGCTGCTCTTCAAAGTTCCCAGTACAGTAGCATTAACTGTATTTCAAGCCAGTAGAAGCGCTCTTCCTCATGGTTTTCTAGGGGCAGAGGATCCGCATCCTTTAATGACTCTTCTATAGATTGCATGGATGCCTTCTCCCTGGTGAGATTTCACGCTACCAGTGCCCTGCCTGTGTGCTCCCCACGAACAGGAAGGGCTTTGTTGGAGATCTGACTTGGCAGGAGCCTTTTAACACTGTCTGGTTTTTCTGTTGTTATTGTTTCACCAAAATAAACCCGTGTCTGCTGGAGCTCAGCTTCAAGCTGCCATTGATTTTGAATGGAAGTCAAACTCCTGGCCCCTTGCAGTGTTTCCAGGAGCTCTGCTTGCTGGCCGGGCAGTTTTGGGAGCTCATGCAGCTGCACCAAGCAAAGCATCCCACTGGGATGCAGACAGTGCAGAGGCGGCTGCAGGATGAGGTCAGGAAAACTTGGATGTCTTCCCAAAACCTATCCTTAAAAGACCAGGAGGAAATGAGTTGCTGAAGTAGATTTCCCCCCACTCTTCATTGCCAGTCAGTGCTTTGCATTCAGCAGCAGTGCACTCAAGTGCCTCATAGGAAGGTTTCCTTTCTCTCAGGACTCTCTCACTGGGGCTCTTTAGTTTTCTGCTTGGTTGTAGGTTGAAAGCGGGGGTAAGCAGCCAGACCTGAGCCTCTGAAGCGCCTCACTGCTCTTTGGAAAACAGTGGGCTTTAGTGCTTCGGGTCATTTTAGTTGTGAAGTGGCTGAGGTACAATTTGTCAGGTCATTCATCTCAACAGAATTAACCCAGTACCTCTCGCTGTCGGTTTTCCCTCTGCAGCACTGCATTAGAAAGCCACAGTGTACAAATTCTGTTCAACAATTGGTTTGGAAACGTTTTTCTTCCCATTTAAGAGCGGATCCTGAAGGCTGTAGGAAAATTGCAACTTGCTTTTTTATCTTTTGGGTGGCCCGTTTTTGTGTCAGCTCTTACACTTGAAAAAGCACCCTCTCAGGCACGAGTTTTTACCCTTTTTCCTTAGTGCATGAGGTTTGCCTTGAGCTCCTCGCTGTGAATCGCAGCAGTGAAGGGATGGAATTGTCTTTAGCTCCCTCTCCTGGGTAATGGGGGCATTTGCCCCCATGATGTTGCTTGATGTACTTTCAGACTTGTGAGCATCTCTGCTCTCAGTGGGAGCAGTGAGGAGCGCAGCGCCCGTGCACAGGGTTGGGACATGTGCTTTAAAACCCCCCAAACCCCAACAAACCAGAAATACCCAACAGAACCAGGGGGAGGTGAGGCCACGTTCCCTTCTGGTGTGCTGTGACAGAGTTGGGGAGCTGTTTCTCTTGGGCTTGGCTGCTGGTGGAGGGGCTGCATGTTTGTGCAGAGGGAGCGGAGGAGCCTGGGGTTCCTTTCCTCCTCCCTGATTTTGTGTTCCAGAGGGGTGGCTTTGTCAGAGCCATTTATTTTCGGGCACTGGTAGGTTTTGGAAGGGAAGGCTCTGTGGAGTCACAGCCTCTAAGGATCCCTCCCAACCAGGCCTTTTCCAGGCAAGGTGTTGAGGGTACCTTTTCTGGGTCAGAGGTATCTCACCATCCTTTCCTGGGTTTCTTTGGCAGTCACATGGCAGGAGAAATCCCAGGGCTGCCTTTTGCTTTTCCTGAGGCTTTATGAATAATGCAGCCTGTGCTTCTTTCCTTTTCAGATTGAGAAAATCATGAGTTCCATCGGCGAAGGCATTGACTTCTCGCAGGAGCAGCAGAGGATCTCAGGTAGTGTACCCAGCTCATGTGTGTCTGAACAAAACCGAGGTGTTGCCTCCTGGGAGCACATCTTTTAACCTGCTTTGGACCCCGGAAGGAAGGGGAAGGCCCTGGCACAGAAGGAGCAGACCTTGGCTTCCCAGCCTGGTGCTCAGTGCTGCTACCAGCAGTCTCAGTTCACTACTCCTCTTGGTGAATTCATTTAACTCGAGGTCTATCCCACAGCTTTTTAACGTAAAGCAGCTGCCCTTCCCTCACAGTAGGCTTTTGGGGTGTAGAGCATTGCAGCTGGTACCCCCATCCTCCTGGGAAAGGGGAGACCAACTATGCAGTGGTGTGATGTATGCTCACCCAGTGACAGCAGTGTATGTGTACAGGGTCTTGCTGCATCTTGAACTGCCTGTTCATCAGTTTTAGGACTTGGTGTTTCTGTGTAGGATATGGGAGATCTTGAGGTGAATAGCTTTAAACAAAGGCTTATTGCTGAGAATTGCAGAGTTATTAGTGGTGGCTTCTGATACTTAAATTGACTCCTTAGAGTCCTTCCCTTTAGGTGGAGGTGAGAGGTGCTGGCTGGTGTGCACGGTCTGGGGTGCTTCTTGTGCTCTTCTGCAAGTTCATGCAGTAAAATCAGCTCTGGAATGGCTGTGTTATTGCCCCTGCTCACCCAGCCCAATAACCACCCTGTTCTGGTACTTGGAACTTCCCAACTAGTCTTTGCTCAGTGTGTAGGAGGAAGATCAGGTTTTCTGAATGCACAAATTTCCAGCTGAAGGATGGTGTGAGGGCTCTGGCCGGTGTCCTAGGGGTAGAAAGTCCTGATCCTGGCTCCTCCAATTACCGCTTTCACCATAGCCTCTGGGAAAGCTGAACTGAAGTTCTTTCCTGCCTTTCAGAATGTGTTTGTCTCAGGTTTCTGTTCTTCTGTGGTGGACAACAAGAATTGCTTGAAGTAGTCAATGTGAAGCAGAGCTGCTGTGTATCTGACTTCTGGCTGGTCTCACAATCCCCACAACAGCCTTGCTTTTGTTTCAAATCCACAATGCAGTAGGGAGATGTTCTTTGCCTTTTTTCATTACGTAAGACTGGGTCTGTCCCTTTGGAGATGGGCAGAACCTCTCTAGACCCCACCACATTCTAGTGTTTTGCTCTTTAAGGCTCACAAAATACTTCCAGCCCTCGGAGGATAGGTTGGGAATTTTGTACTTGGGCTTGTGCCTCACAGAATCCAGCCTGGTTTGGGTTGGAAGGGACCTTAAAGCTCATCTGATTCCAACCCCTGCAATGGGCAGGGACCCCTTCCACTAGAGCAGCTTGCTCCAAGCCCTGTCCAGCCTGGCCTTGAACACTGCCTGCAATGGGGCATAAAGAGCTGCTTCTACCACCCGGCCTCTGAACCAAACCTGGAGTAGCTGGAGTGTTGTGGCAGTTTCCTAGCAAAACTACTGCTTTTTTCTGCAGCCCGTGTTTTAACGTTTCTTCTCCAGTTTTCACCTATAAATCTGTAGGTGCCCTGTCATTGCTTCAGATCAGAGAAAACTCATTACAATTTCTCTTTTCTATGTATTTCACATACTTCTGTGAGCTTGAAGAGTTTTATTAATTTTATTATAAAGCTTTATAAATAGTGTGTGAGGTTATTCAGTGGTGCAGTTTGTCTTTGCTTTTCCTCATTTCCATAAAAGAAGGTGAAGGAGGAATGGTAGTGTCATTTAGTGCATTGATTTTTCTTGAACAGAGCAACGTCCTCCTCCAGCCACACTTACAACTATTATAACTGTTACCTCTGCAGTGCAGCATCAGAGCGATGGGAGACTATCCTGGGTTAAAACACTCTAATTTCCATAAATACTGGAAGTAAAGGCAGTTGGGGCATGGGGAGTAGTGAACCTTGTGCTGAGTTTGTGTTCAGGATCCAGACTGGAGCAGCAGAGAGAACCAAGTCTTGATTTAAAATCTTCCTCCGTTGCTCCTGCAGTGACCTCATCACCTGCCTTGGCTCTGCACATCAAATGGGATCATTTTGCCAGGTTTTTCCTATACATTTTGTGCCTTCTTTTGAGGAAAGCAGATGAGGTGCTAATAGAGGAAGGATGCTTTGGTATCAGTGCAAATGTCCCTGGACATGTCTCCATATGGTTTGCAGAGTGGGGAAGTCACCTTGCCCCTTCCCCAGGTGACTGTCTCAATGCTTTTACATTTCCAAGCTGCTCAGGAGGTGAGACACAGCTACAGAGCTTGATGAAGTGGATACTGATGAACTCTGCTGCCTGGGGACTGAAGGTGCCTCAATGTCATGTTCTGCTCAAGGGGTTTAGAAAATCTCCACCTTGAAAACGCTGTCCTAGGAAATGCTTTCTAATGGTGAGACCGGTTCAGCTGGGGCAGCACTGCCCTCTGAGGTACTTCATAGCTGATCTAGTGCCACCATCCCAGTAGCTGGGAGCAGCCCTGTCTGTTCAGGGATACCACCTTCTCCCAGTGCCTCTTGTGGGGGAAACATAGAATCAGCCAGGTTGGAAAAGACCTTTAAGCTCATCAAGTCCAACCATTACCCCAGGACTGCTAAGTCCACCACTAACCCGTGGCACTAAGGACCTCCCTGTTTCTGTTAGGACAGTGGCTGTGCTGAGAGCAGCACTGGGGTGATGGCAGTTGCAGGACAGCACGGGTGTGCTGTGGCTGTGCCCTTTGGCTGTGCCTGATGTGCCACGTGCCTCAACTTAGGCTGTGCCAGGCTTTTCTGAGCACGCCTGAAGGCACCGCTCTGCTAACCCCGGCTGCTTGCAGGACATGTGCTTCCCCTGTGCTTTAAGCATGAATTCCCTTCTCTGCCTTTAAATCAGGAGCAAAACCAAAAGCAGAACTTAAGAGCTTGCTGGAGGATTGCCACCACGAGGGATTCTGTCCTTTTAAATCCTTCACCTCCAGCCTGCTGCATCGGAACTGCTCTGGGTGGGCAGAGTCTTCTCTTGATGAGATGCTAATATGGATCCGCACACACAGCTCACGCTTGCCGTAGCAGAGCTTACCTCACATCCATTTATCATCTGGGTTTTTGCTTTGGTGACAAGGAATCCCCAATGGGAGTTTAACCTGTGCCTGCCCTGATACTGTGTACTGAGGAGGGCTTATATTTTCTGGGGTCAGAAGGGGGGTTTTTTTGGCCTAATGCAGTGTCAACTGTTCAGCATCCTGCTTTATGACAAGCCCTCCCCAAGCCGATCTGTAGCTGTAGCAGCATGTGTGATGGATCGATAGCATCAGTGGAGAGGTCTAACATGGAGGAGAGAGGAGGAGCGTCCTTCAGCCTTGTGCAGGGGCATTCCAGCAAAATGGACACTCACCTCTGGGATCAGGCAGCCCCAGGAGCTGCCTTGTCCTTAAGCCGGGGGTTTTCCTGCAGGTTGCCCGGTGTTACCCTGGGTCTGGGGCCTGTCGCGTGCAGCTGAGCTGCTGTTACATATTCCATGTTAATCCTTCCTTTCCCTGTGAGCACAGTGAGCCAGAGAGTGGGCAGAGGCAAAGGCAGAGGATGGCCTGGGGTGCCCTGCACCTGGATGTTGGTGTTTTCTGCTCCTCCTGGCTTTGTTGGGGCTGGTTTAACACTTCAGGTCATACCACAGGTGTGCAGGGAGATGCAGGGATCTTCCTAAATGCTCTCTCATACTCAAAAATGGCTGGGCTTGGAAGATACTGGGGCTCCTAACTAGTTTGGTGTCTGGAATCATTAATTTGCCTGGAAAGGTAAAATGCTTTGCTCACTATGGAGAGTCTGTTCATACAGGCAGGTATTACATACAACTGACTTGTGTGTAGGGAGAGCAGGAGGCCTTGGAGTCATGCTGGAACAAGCCCAGGCCCTGAAGCACTTGGTTTCAGGTCCCAGCCATTCCCCAGACTTCCCATACAAATGGGCAGATAACTGGTTTCTGTACCATAAAGCTTTCCTCCCTAAAACCGTAACAAAGCTTCCCTGTCTTGCCATGGTGTTATGGCCAGTGCCTCTGGAGGGTAAGAGAATTAGGTGCATTCTGGCATCTTTACACAATTTGGAGCTAGAAGCTGTTTCTTGGCCAACAGGTTCGACCCTCTCATCCTGATAGAGCTTGTAAGGAAATCTTCCAAGGGTGTATTCCAAGGGTGGGGTGGTGTAGGCAGGAGGAAAGGACAAGTCACTGGTCTGTGTTGGTGCTGCTCCGATGGGGAATCAAGGGACCAGATTCCACCTAACCTTTGCTTTAAAGGACTGTTTTGCCTGTGAAAACATGTTTGATTCCAGTCTGTGTCTCCCTGCACGTGAGTTTTGTAGTCATTTATTTAGTTCCATCAGCCCACTTCCGATCGTCTCTTCCTCCAAGTGAGTCAGAGGGGTAGGGGAGTACAGGTCTCGCAGCAGAAACTCAACCCCACTGCACTGCAGTGCTCCATCTCACTGCTGGCTCTTAACAAGACGCCTGTGTGCTGCTCGCTGGGTTATGGTGACTTGCCAAGCAGTATTTTCCTCCTTCAGAATAGAGGAGATGGAATCATAACATTATTTAGGTTGGAAAAGACCTTTAAGATCACTGAGTTCAACTGTTAACCTAGCACTGCCAAGGCCATCACTAAATCATATCCCCAGGTGCCACATCTTATGGCTTTTAAACCCCACCAGGGACGGTGCCTGCAGCCCTGCCCTGGGCAGCCTGTTCCAATGCCTGAGCACCCTCTGGGGCAGGAATTGTTCCTCAGCTCCATCTAAACCTGCCCTGGTGCAGCTTGAGGCCGGTTCCTCTTGTCCCATCCCTTGTTCCTTGGGAGCAGAGCCCAGCCCCTCCTGGCTCCATCCTCCTCTCAGGCAGTTGGAGGCAGCCATCAGGTCCCCCCTGAGCCTTCTCTTCTCCACACTGAACCCCCCAGGTCCCTCAGCCCTTCCCCATCACACTGTGCTCCAGGCCCTGCCCCAGCTCCGCTGCCCTTCTCTGGCCCCGCTCCAGCCCCTCAAGGTCTCTCCTGTAGTGAGGGGCCCAGAGCTGAGCACAGGATTCGAGGTGCAGCCTCACCAGTGCCCAGTGCAAGGGCTCAATCCCTGCCCTGGCCCTGCTGCTGCACTGGTGCTGGTACAGGCCAGGATGCTGGGGGCTGCTTGGCTGCCTTGGGCACAAGCTGCTCCTGTTCAGCTCCATCACTCAGCACCCCCAGCTCCTTTCCTATGAGCTGTTTCCAGCCACAATTCCCTAAGCCTGGAGCATTGCAGGGGGTTTTTGTGGCCCAAGTGCAGGACATGGCATTGAACTTTGGTGAGCCTCATCCCATTGGCCTTGTCCCATCCTGTCCAGATCCCCCTGCAGAGCCTCCAGCAGATCAGCACTCCTACCCAGCTGGTTTTCCTGTGCACTCTGGATGATCTGCTCCATAACCTTCCCCGGCACCAGGCCAGCCTGGCAGATCTGGAGTTCCCTGCATCCTCCTTCCAGCCCTTCCTGTAGCTGGGGTCACTTTTGTGAACCTCCAGTGAGCCAGGACTGGTGAGAACTGATGGGAAGTGGTTCAGTGAGCACTCCACCAGCTCCCTCAGCACCCTTGGGTGGATCCCATCTGGCCCCATGGACCTGTGTGTGTCTCAGTGGTGTCACTGACCACTTCCTCTTGGATTGTGGAGGTTTCATTCTGCTCCCTGTCCCTGTCTTCCATCTCAGGGGACTGGGTACCCAGAGAACTGACCGTACTATTAAAGACTGGGACAAAAGGCAGCATAAGTACCTCAGCCTTTTCCTCATCCTTTGTCACTGTTTCCCTCCACATCCAACAAAGGATGGAGATTCTCTTTTGCCCTCCTTTTGTTGCTGATGTATTTATAGAAACACTTTTTACTGTCTTTTACAGCAGTAGTGAGATTAGGTCCTAGGTGAGTGGTCTCTGCTCAGTAAATCAGTTTGATGCAGGCAGGAGGGGCAGGGATTGCATTTGGGGCTCAGTGAGTTACCTGTGACTTGAGACATGAGGAATGTGCTTAGTGTTTTACTGGACAGAAGAGGGGGAAATCTGTGAGCAATGTGCATTTGGCTAATTGAGCTTAGTTCAGTGAAGCTGGATGCTGGCTGTTTCCTTGCAGCTGATGACATTAGTGACTGCATTCGCCTCGCCCATCCATCTTGCCTAATGCACTGCCTGGGATGATAGCCCTCCTGAATGGGCTATATGGGCTCCTCAGTGGATTTAAGGACTTCCAGCTGATGATCATTCCCAGTCGTGGCAATATCTGCCTGACTGGGTTCTCCTGTGTGCTTGCTTTGTGATGGTTTCATCAGTGCTTACTTGGGCTTTCAGTTTTACCTTCTGGCTGAAGCTTGGTTGAGTGTCTTCAGGGCCACACCAGGCCATGTTAAACTGTTCTCACATAAACAGGGTGATGCTTTTTGTCTGGCGTGGCCCACATCCTTATTTCATCCTCCAAACAGACTCACACTTTACGCTAGAGGTCATTATTGGAACTTTAACTTCCAAAAGGGCCTTTCTGACCCCTCGTGGGCCTCTCCTGTTCTCTTTGAAGCACACTGTGTAACATGAAGAATGTCCTGCAGGAGGAACTGAATTGCTGGCTTGCTTGCTTTGCAACTTCGAAATACTCTCATTATTTGTAACTACACTCTGTTGACTGCTTCCCCCTGTGCATCTGCAAACCCTTTGAAGGTAGGACTCATGAAACGTGGAGCATAAGGAGGATGGAGCTGAGCATCAGGAGTTCGTTTCAGTCAGAAGTTGTGATCAGGCTCTTGCTGGGGGGGGGCACAGTGACTGGGATTCATTTGTTTTGTGTCATCCTTGTAACATGCAAACAGTAAGTGTATTTTAGTCTTCATTTTCACCTAGGATGCTTTGGGCATCTGTTCTCCTTTTCTTTTTGAAGTAAACCCCTCCACTCCCCTTCCTCCAAATACCCAGCCCCTGCTTCATTTTGTCTTGATTTGAAGTGGTTTTAAACCCCTGCACTTGGTGTCACTGTAGGTTTCCCCTGTAAAAGCAGAAATACATTTATGAGTGTGTTCAAAGGCTGAGAAGAGTAAATAATCTTTTCAAAACCTGAATCCAGGAGCTCAGAGCCGTGCTTTCATTCCCCCGGCTGCTTCCAGAAATGCTGTAGTAGGCAGCAAGCAGTTTCCTCACCTCTCTCTTGATGAATTAATTCTGAGCCAGCCACAAATCACTCGGAACTGTCAAAGCAGAGCGGTAACCTTGTCTGTGGAAAACCCAAGGCGGGTAGTCCATCCCCGAGTAAATAGTGAGAAGCCAGGCACTGCCACCAGAGAGTTAGAAAGCTGCTTCTCCCTCCCCTCTCCTGCAGCTTCTGCTCGCTGCTCGTACAGAGGATGGGAAAGCTGGGAGGGGTAAGAGGATGAAGAGAAGGGAGGGACAGGCGATGCGAAAGCCGGAGCCAGGGCTGCGAGTGGAACGGCAAGCGTGGAGCTCGCTGCCTTCAGACAAAGCACTGCAGCGCTCCGCAAGGACACGCGCTGCTCCGGGAGGGGACACGGCTGCTGGGACCCACACAAGGGCAGGATGGAGACCCCGGCCGAGCAGGAGCTTGTTGCATCAATTCCAGGTTTAGCTGCTGCCCTTCTAGAGGCTGTGTTAGGGGAGGGAGACAGAAACCTTTTGTGATCTCTGCGTTGCTTGTGCTGCAGTGTGCACTAGAAAGACTGGCCAGCTCTGTCGGACTCGCCTGGCAGAGGAGCTCTCCTGTGGACCAGAGGAGCTCTCCTATGGACCAAAGCAGCAGGATCCCTTATCCCAAGAATCTCCAGATGGCACCGTGAGCTCTGCCTTGTGCAGCCATTGCAGCAGGTGGGGGGGGGGGAGGATGCTTTGGAAGGTACCAGCCAGCTTCAGCAGACCTGAAGGTTCGAAGAAGCAAACTTTGGTTTTCCTGAGCATCTTTTTGTTTGCATATACCCTTGAAACAGATGTGCTAAGAAGCTTGAAAAATTCTGCCTGTCTTGCATAGCAAATTCCCTGATTAAAGGAGATCTCTGAACTTTTTTTTGGGTCATATTTAAGGTCTCAAGCTTTTGTAGAGGACAGTAACAAGTCATTGGACTCCCTTCCCAGGGGTGAGGGAAGGGAGAGCTTGTCTGCGCAGTTTCCTTAGGGTGCTGGGAAGAATCCCATTTTTCCTAAGGGGAGGTGCCAGGGCATGTCTCGGAGTTGAGCTGCTGCAGGAAGACAGGAGTGTGCTTGCCTTTGGTTTCTTTCTGTTTTGCCATGGTTTGGAAGCAAGGAACTGAAATGCCTCCTCCTCCAGAGCTGCTCCCTCTTTGAGTGAGGGGCTCGGTTGCAGCAGCTGAGCTTGGCTGAAGAAGATGAAGGAAGGGCAGATACAAGCGTGTACCAGATACCTGACAGGATTGAATACATTAGGTGAAAACCAGACTGATTCCTCTGTCTCTTGCTGTCACCCAGTGCAGGGGTATAGTTAGACTCATCAGTGCAGCCGGTACTGGAATGCCGTGTGTTGGGATGCGTGGTAAAATGACAGTGCCAGGAGTCTCAGCCTCATGCTTGGGCTCACTCTTGCCTCTGCTTCTGTTAACACAATAACAGCAAGAAAAGGCCCTTACCATGGTTTGCCTCTTTGAGGACTGCTGGGGGAAAAAAAGTATAAGCCCTTCTTTCCTTCTGCTGCAGTTTGTGTGCTCTCTTTGTCTTGCATGTCTCCTGTGGACAGCTGCTCTGCTCTGGCTTCTGCTGCTTTTCTCAGAGTCCGTCGTGTCTGTTCTGTTGTCTCAGCTGCATGAAGATGTCTTTCCTCTCTAGCTGCTTTGTGCCTCCACTGCTCCTGGCCCGCTGACTGGGGCAGCACGTCCCAAGTTGCATGGATGAGAGGACCTGCGTGGCTCTGCTTCATTCCCTCGCATCGCCAACTGGCTGGGAATGCCTTGGGTGAAAGTTTGCTGCCCTCCTCCCGCCCCCTTCAGATGAGCCAAGGAGTGGATCTGCATCCCGTGGGGTTGGGCTTCATGTGTTTGCTTGGCAAGAAACTCGCCCTGAAAGCAGTGCATGAGGTGTCCTGGTCCCAGCAGTGCTGCTGAACACTCTGCCCGGGCAAGGTGGTTCTGGTTTGGAGCATTAACCGGGATACAGATTAAACCCGGAGCCCACAAACGCACTGGAAGCTCGTTGTCCATGCTCTGTGCACACAAGAGGAATTGTCTGCCAGCTGATTTGTTGTTCTCTGAGCATAATTTGTTGAGTTTCTTTATGGTAATGACTATGATGTGGCAATGCCATCTGTCTTCCTCAGAGTGCCGCTGCTACCGCCTTAATGGGTTCTCCCTTTTCAAGCGTCTGCCGATTCCTCTCTCGTCAGGTTCACGGATGCTGGAGCAGAGTGTTGGGGAGTGGCTGGAGTCCATTGGCCTGCAGCAGTATGAGAGTAAGCTGCTTTTGAACGGCTTTGATGATGTCCGCTTCCTGGTAAGTTCCTGCTGGGACCCCACGGGCTCTACCAGATGCATTGGTCAAACCTTGAGCTGTTATGGACACCCCGTGTCAGCTGCAGCACAGATCTGGGTTCTGCAGCGCAGCAGAATGGTCTTGGGGGTGTGGAAGGTCAGACAAAAGAAAGGAGTAAGGGTTGTTTTGGGTCTGGGTCATTCATGTTCATATTTAATTCTGGTGATGTAGTTATTCCACTGGAATTCTGATATACAGGTTTATCTATTTTGCCTCTGACATCTTTACCACCCAATTTACTTTAGAAATGGGAACTGAAATTCCTGTTTTCTGAATGGGAATTTCAAACACTGAAGTAGCATCTTGAAGAAATCGCTGAGCAGTCTGTTGTGGACTGTGAAGGAGGTGGTGGACCTCTTGTTGAAGCTATACTTACTGTAAGCATGCAGACAGGATGTAAATGAGCTGTACCCAATTGCACTGACACTGTTGGCTCTGAATCCTAATGATGACAACACAGTAGTGCTTAATGTTGAGGGGTTTTATTTGATAACCAGTGTTATTAAATAACCAGTTAGAAAGCTGGAGAATTCATGTGGAATGATGACCAGCAAAGGCAGAAAATGTTGGTGCTCAGGAGGGCTCTTCCTGCATGGCTTAAAGAAATGGTGTTTGAGTGTGGACTCCGAGTTTTGCAAATAAAGGATTACTAGAAATGGATGTAAACCTTTGGAAAAGTCATTTGGGCTAATGTAATACCCTGCCTTGGCATTTGGTACAGTGGACAGTGTGTAGAGGTGATATTCAGGAGGATGTGTGCTTGCCAGCTCTGTTGTGAGCCGGGTGACAGGATTTGGAACACACGGCAGCCGTCTGACAGTGGTGAGGGTGTGTGTGGGGCAGCTGGAGAAGGAACAGGTATCAGCAGGGGTAAGTACTGTTGATCAACAGTACTTGTGAATGGCTTGGGATCTCTAAGCATCCCTGGAAGTTGACTACTGTGGCAGCATCCAGCCATTCCTTCTGGCCTGCATGGCAAGCACCTTATCCCTTTGTCCTACCATAGCCTGGCAGGGCCCGTGCTCCCCTAGAGAGCTGGATTTGACTGTGGTTTGTGCACCTTCAGTACAGGAAGTGCTGGCGACTGGCGATGGTCTTACCATGCAGCCTTCTGCCTCTACCTTATCCTGGTCCTACAGCCATGTGCAGCACCGTCCCTCTTCCCTGGTGAGGATTTGGGGCAAGCTGTCCCCATGGAAACCGTGGTTGCCCTCACTGGGTTCTGGCACTGCCACAGCCAAGCCAGGGCTGGCTCCGGGGGGCTCTGGTCCCTCAGTGTCTCACCCGGCTGGTCCCAACCGTCAGATGAAGCCTTGACCACTGTGCTACGGGCTTGTGCATTCAGCTCTGGGTGAGGAATCAGCATTCCTGCGTGCTGGGGTGGTCTGACTGCACTTGTGGGATGCTCTGGGTATGCTATAAGGAATTGAAATGAAATAATGCCCCACAGATCCCCTCTGCTGGTGGATCTTTGACATTTGTGCTGTTGGTGGGCTGTGCTCACTCCAGCAGGTAGCAGATGAAACCACCTTTACTGGGACTGAGCCTGCCTGACGAGTGTGGTGATGGACCCCTCGCAGCACAGAAGTTTGATAGTGAAGGAAATTCACTTTCCAGGTAGGAGCTGGAGGCTAGGAAGCAGGAATTTTTGTTGACTGCTTATTTGCAGTAAATAGCAACGCTTCGTTGCAGACCGATGAAGAATTTTGTTATTTATAAGATGAAAGCAAAGGTCCCTTGTAAGTGTCTCACGGGGGGATTTTATGGTGTACATGGTAGGAGCTGCTTTTTAATAGTGTTCATGCCTGGCTGGTTTTCTTTCCTATCCAATGCCAGAGAGCTGTTCCCAGTGCAGGAAATCAGCTTCTGCTGGTCTCAGGGAATGGGATGCTCTCCTTGTTCATCCCTCCCAAATTTAAAAGGTCAAGTAATTTAACAAAGGTTTCCTGCAAACCCTGGCTGATTTCCCTTTGGCTGCTTATCTCTTTCACTAGCAAGCTGACTCTGGCACCCATGGCAAGACTGGCTTCAAATCCTTTCCTTTAAGTCCTGGCAACTCCAAGCTAATCCAGGCAGCCCAGGATGAAAGTTTAATTATTAGGAACCTTTTTCTCTGTGGTGTTACTTGCCTTCAGCTTCTGATGGTGTGGAAGGAGAACGTTCGGATGCAGTACGGATGAGGATCAAATAGGTAATTTGGTTTTAGCAGTGATGTTGATGTTCTCAGATGAATTATTAAAGCTGTAAACACTGAAGCTGGCTGGTGCAGCAAGCGCCGAAAGACCTGGATGCTTTCGCTCCTGGCATTCCAGGCTGTCCATTCCTTTTGGTTTTACATAACAGCTCCTTTCTGAAGTGCCACTTCCAGTCACTAACGAAGAATCTTTCAAACTGAGTGTCATTGTTCTCCTGGAGTTGAAATGGTTTTTGTGAAGGCTCAGTCTCTGTTAGGGCCTCAATATGTGAAGTATTTCGAGGTCCAAAGAATGCCTGGTAATAGTTTGCAAATTGCCAGATGGGCTGTGAGGCTAATTAATGTTAGCTGCAAAAATGCAGTTGGAGTCTTTTGATACAGAAGCACTCTTGTTTTCTGTGTCAGGTCTCACAGTGCATAGAGGGCCCTGGGGTTTTCAGGCTCCTGTGGCTTCCAGAGTCCCCAAGGTGCCCGTCTGTGGGCAAACAAGCAGTTTGTCCAGTGGGTAGACAAGAAAAGCATTGCAAGAGGAAGCTGATGTGTAGTGATAGTACAGCTGTAAAGCAGGGACAGTGTCCTGGAAGAAGAGCTCTTTATTACACTTCTGAAGAATACTCAGCCTGCAGCAGGTAGTTACTAAAAGTAGGATTAAGAAAAGAGTCTAATAAAGAGCACAACCTGTAACCACAGTGGTAACTGGGTGAAATCTGGTGTTTGCTGGCACAGACATGTTGAGGGCGCTTGTAGATGTTTAAACTGTACTGGTTACCCAGCAGGTGGTACAGAGTTGAGGAGGAGATAAAAAATGGGTGGTACAGAGCTTGGCTGGTGCTTTTTGGTGCTCTTACAGCCTGTGCTCAGCCAGGTCTGCTTTCAAGAATTCCAGATTCCCTGCATGTTTTCAGTTGGCTCTTGTGTTAATTTGTGCCCTGTATTACAAAAGCCTTTTCACCCCAGACTCATTTCCTTTAGGAAATTTCCTTTAGGAAATGAGTCATGAATGTGCAGTATGGTAAGGTGAGGTTGGAAAGGGACGTGGAGCTGTTGGAGCAAGGCCAGAGGAGGCCATGGAGATGCTGCGAGGGCTGGAGCAGCTCTGCTCTGGAGCCAGGCTGAGAGAGCTGGGCTGGGGCAGCCTGGAGAAGAGAAGGCTCCTGAAGGGGAGACCTTAGAGCAGCTCCAGTGCCTAAAGGGGCTGCAGGGAACCTGGAGAGGGGCTTGGGACAAGGGCCTGTAGGGACAGGCCAAGGGGAATGGCTTGAACCTGCCCGAGGGGAGACTGAGCTGAGCTCTTAGGCAGAAGCTCTTCCCTGTGAGGGTGCTGAGGCGCTGGCACAGGGTGCCCAGAGAAGCTGTGGCTGCCCCATCCCTGGCAGTGCTCAAGGCCAGGTTGGACACAGGGGCTTGGAGCAAGCTGCTCCAGTGGAAGGGGTCCCTGCCCGAGGCAGGGGTTGGAGCTGGATCTTTAAGGTCCCTTCCAACATGAACCATTCTATGATTCAATGAAATGCATTGGGCTTCTTTAACTAGATGTTAATGTAGGAAGGCAGAAACATGCATTGTTTCCAATAATATTAATTCCCTATTTTTCAGCAATCCAGGGATCAGCTGTGCTCTCTGGACATGCGTCTGGCTGGTGCTGGCTGCATCTCCCGCAGCACTGCGGAGAAGCGCTGAGCAGGGCTGGGGCAATAATCCTGCTCCCTTGTCAGGGTCTGCTCCTGCACTTCGACAGGCAGCATTGAAAGTGCAGTTTCTATAGGTCTACGTGAAGAGGCAGGCTTGGAAATGCAGGCCACAGTGTGAGCCATGAGCATTTTACAGGTTTTCCTGTAAAAGGAGAAGGGAGAAGTGTATTTTAGCAGATGGCTGGGGTGGGCTGTGAATGTCAGGCTGAGGCTTCTCTGCTTTTGGGAATTCCAGCTCTGCATAGGGGTGTAGCTGGAGGCCTCGTGCTCCAGCAGGACCCTTTGCGCACAAGCTTGTGAGACAGCACTTCAGTTGTCAGCAAACTATTGCAGTTCAGGTCTGCTTTGGTACGAGAGTGGTGACTGCAGCACAGTGACGTGTGTTTCTGCCAGAGCTGTTTCTCTTTTGGGGGAGTTCAGGACAAAGAAGAGTATTACTTGTCTTACCCATTTGTTCTGAGCAGTGTTGGGGCTCGTTGGGAATATTCTCACTTTTGGAACTTGCAGGGATTTTTGAGAGCTTGTGAATTGGTTATGAGGGAAGAACAAGTTGATACAATCATGGTAAGGAGAAGGGAATCACAGGTGAAAATGCATAAATGCAATGGCTGACACAACCATTGGGTGATTCAGGAACCGGAGCTGGGGTGAGATGCTGTGGACAGGCTGTTTCAGCACTGGCCTCATTGATGTGTTGCTTTCTTCCAGCACTGAAAGCAGAATTTCCTCAGTGTTTCCATGGTGTCAGGTTCCTGTGAAGTGTGCAGGACAAACCCAAGTGCTGCAGCTCTGGACGTGGCACGCGAGAGCATCTTGGTGACACTGACCGGTTTCACAGTCCAATACAGAACCAAGATCGTTTATGACTAGTGCAGAGGACCTTCTTAGTGTATATAAATATATAAAGGGGGAGTGTCACGAGGATGGAGCCAGGCTCTTCTCAGTGGCAAACAATGATAGGACAAGGGGCAATGGGTACAAACTGGAACACAAGAGGTTCCACTTAAACCTGAGAAGAAACTTCTTCTCAGTGAGGGTGACGGAACACTGGACCAGGCTGCCCAGGGAGGCTGTGGAGT